TCTGGCTGCCGAACATTACAATCTAATTCTTCTCTGTGCCCAGTCCAGATGTCAGTTCATCATATGGCAGCGTGTCAAACGTTTGCAGAATTACCTAACACATGCTCAGAGTTAGCATAAGGAAAGCATAAGGTATCTACAAGATACCATTTGCCACAACATTAGCATGACACTAAAGGTGATGCGTGTGGTTACCTAGTGTACCGATGGTTGAAATAATTTCCCTCCATTCTCTGGGCCCAATATTCTCTTGTTGCTCAAATGCATCCAGCTCAAATGCACGTAGGTTTGTCAACCGGTAGGTGGCACGTTCTACGTAAACCCAGCTAAAATTGTAACGAACGTGCTGGCTGAGTGAGATGATCTCGGCTTTTCGGTTTCAGTGACGATGGCTGAGCGCCCGGGCGCCCCCCCCCCCCCCCGAATTTGCCAACGTCCTTTTTTTCTAAAGCTTTGGAGTACAAGTCAAAGGCTTGTAAAAATATCACGTGATTGAGTGGTTGTTATTGTTACACTTCAAGACATTCCATGAACAGATGATACGATTAATCTAATCGTTCTCATAAGCGTTGTAGTCGTTGAGAACAAAGTGGCGGCACTTCCATCCATCGCATTACCATTTCTATTTTCAAGGCAAGCAGGCCAGCCTCATCTTCTAGCCATCACGCCATATCAAGAGTTTAAAGTTCATGTTCCAATCAAGGTTTTCTCGACTGTGAAGCCCGAATGCCATGCAAGTTTCCATAAAAAATGCCGATTGTTAAGCTTCGAGCGGGACGTCGTGACGACGTCGGTCAGTCAGTCAGGACGTCGTGACGACGTCGGTCAGCGCGTCACCATAGCCCTGTCGCGGACAATACCATGCGAAGGCCGTCACCAAGTCCATAGGGCTTCGTGGGGATTCCGAGAACGCAGGCATGTGGCCTCACGTATGGTTGCTATCCAACCATTTTTATATTATATGTAACTTATCATTCCAAACGGCCATTCTACCGGACGACCGACTGTGGTGTCTGGAAAAATGCATATAATCACGTAAAATATACTTTCTGTTTTGTACTCTCTCGGACATTCTCTGCCCGGCTACAGTGGGTAAGCACCGTCCAGTACCGTCCGTCAGCGTATCCCAGTCCGGCAGCCTCCTCTCGCGATCGTCGCCGAGCCATGGCCACTGGCCCGCCCCCCAGCCGAGCGCACGTGCGGCCCCGATGGCGGCGTTTACCGGCTGCACACCTGAGCGGTGCACCCGACACCCATCACCCGCCGACACACCTGTAACGAGTGCGTCACGCGGCCGGCACCTGCAGCTCACCGCCGGCCGGGCGCCAGCTCAGGCACGCCGCCGCCAGACACACTTGGGCTCTGGTCAGGACCGTGGGATTTTTTGCATTAATTTAGGTGTCCATGGAGGTCGTGTGATTATGATCTTTGCCTGTGCCATTGCTTTAAAACCACACATGTTCTACAGTGTGAATGATGAACAAACATTGCACCAAAACACTTTGCTAGGTTAGTGAGCCAAAATGTATGTTGTCGAGTGAAGTGAGGCTTCGTTTTACAAATGAGTAGTTTCAATATTTGTATTTTCACAACACCCACAATACATACTTTTGTTCAAATGCTTCTTCTATCTAGGAAAAGTTAGTTTGCGTGAGAGTTTGTACATTACATATATTTGTATATTACATATATATATATATATATGTATATATATATATATCTATATATATCTATATATATATCTATATATATATATATATATATATATATATATATGTGCGAAAAAGATGGGTCTTTTCCCCCGGGCATACTCACCAGTCGGCGACATGAATAACATCAAAAGCAGTTAAGAAATGCCGCGGATTGACTGGGCATCTGTGGTGTAATGGTTGACGTACTGGACCAGCATTCAAAAAGTCCGGGCCCACGTGCCGGTGGGGACACACATTTTCCGCACTAGTTGACAAACTACATCGTCTGCAAAGCGACCAGTAAATACTGACTCATCAAAGCTAGAGGAGCAGAATCAAAACAACCTCACACAAACCGACAATTTAGTTCTGAGCTTTGTGTCCTGGCCAAAAGTATCCTCTATTAATTGCTGTTCCTTTTAACAAATCAACGTACTGTTCTTTCTGTTTGCAAAACTTGGATGCATTTTCCGTTATTGTTTTGTATTTTCTTACTCGCCGCCAATGGCCGGGGAACCGGGCGTGCTCGCGTCCCTACACTCTGCGATACTGAGAGCGACACCTTGGCAAGGCGTCAGAACACGAGAGATTGATAATGAAGTCACACCACGTCGTGCATCCCCTTACCAGTGCCCCACAGTCCTCTTGAAATTGCACGCGCTCTTTGAAAAACGTTCCTCATAACAGGGCCGTAGTTTCGTAAAATGAGTGCGTGTAGTGTGAGTTGAGCAGTGAAAAATGACGCAACCTACACACAAAATTTGACAACAAACGTGTTTCTCTCCGGATTTCACCCGCTTTCTGCTAAAAGTTGTGGGAGGGGCGCTGAAACCCAAGTCGGGAGAGCATAGCTGGAGCCAAAAAAAAACTGAATAGGAAAACGAACAAGCCTGTCTGAACATCCCCGCCTCTAAACAAGTCATTTCCCCACACCGGGCATCTACCACTGCCACCATCTCATTGCCGTACATTGTCCAGTTACCGTCCCCCTCGGTATCCGTGCGCACCGCCTCCGTCCTGTGCCGGTGAAGCAGAGGGTGTGGGGGTTGGGCGGGGGGGGGGGGGGCGGTGCAGTGCGATCGATGACCCTGTGTCGCACCGTTGGTCGGCCGGCCGTCGGCGCCGCGGCCGGTCCGGACGCCGCTGTCAGCCGCCCGCCCGGCCTGCACCTCCGGAAGTCACCGACGCTGACTGATGGCTGCCGGCCGGCCGTGCGGGGGCGGTGCGCCCCGAGAACCCCGCCCATGTGCTCAGCCGCTCCGTGTGCGGGCCCACCGCACACGATAGGGGTGCGCTCGGAGAAGATGCTGGGGGATGCAGTGGCGAATGGTGTTCAGGTGCGAGGAAAACGTGTGTAGCACTGTGCTGTTGGCTGAGACGGTCTGGGGCGATAAAAGCATTGTCTGTCAATTACAGCGGCCCAGGCCAAAAAGGCCCGAGATCAAGTTGACTGACACATGTTAGTTACAGTCATAAAACCTACCTTACGCTTTCTGTATGTCAGTAAAAATCCAGTCTTGTACGCGACACTTGGCTATATGACTTGTATTATGTAACGGCACACTCACTCACAACAGCAACCCTAGTCATTCGTACCACCGCCTTAATAATAGATGGCTCCTACTTCACGTATGCGAATGATATTGGTCCATTCGCCACGTCAACGGCAGCAGTGCCACCCAAAATGCTGGAGATGGTATTCCCAAACCCTTCACCTCGACTTCGTTTGTCAAGGTCTCGTCTCGTTAGCTTTAAACGACGATGCCAACATCAATACAACAAAAAAAATAATAAGCTATGGCGCCGTTGACGGCGTGTTCAATCCCACGGCTCGCTCCACAGGACACGGCCGGTCAGGAGAGGTACCGGACCATCACCACGGCATACTACCGAGGCGCCATGGGCTTCATCTTGATGTACGACATCACGAATGAGGAGTCTTTCAATAGCGTGCAGGACTGGTGAGTGGCGGCGGCGGGGCTGCCCGGCCGGACGACCTTGCTGGTGACGTCATCGAGAACTCGACGGGAAGAGGAGGTTGGATGGAGAAAGCGGAGGCGGGCAGTATTGTGTAGTTTGGCTTTCTGCACGTTCACATGCATTATTCATTTTATGCAATCTCATGTGTGCGTCTATAAGTGAAGATCCATATTTCATATTGCCTCGCGTAATGCGGCGAATGGCTCGTTCGATCAAATTGCTCATCACCATGTCGCGTAAAAACGTATAATTATTTCCATGGTATCCGCATCAGACTTGACAAATCATTTGAGCTCGGCGTCGAATATTGTTTTGCGATCAGGATGATTAGCCGCCATTTGCCTCGGGTAACATAAACGCGTCTTCGCGTGTCAGCGACATTCCTTGGGCCATCTGATCGCGTGCCCCCCCTCCCCCCATGCGTGTCAACAGCGTAGATCGGCGCTCTGACGGAATGTTCCCATACTCCATATTAGAGATGTGGGGTGACTCGCCACCACACGCGTCCGCGGCACAATGTTGCCCCCTGTGCCGGTCCCGTGCGGTGGCGCCTCGCCCCGCGACCAGACTTCTGAGAGGGCCATGACAGCTCTCTGACATGTGACTGTAATTCGCGTTCGCCTCACAGCTTAGGCGTCTAACTGCCAGACACGCGCGCTTTACGTCCAGTGTCGTAGTCGGTGATTCACCCACGAGGGAGCGAGATCGGGTCATAGAGGGCACTTCCGGCCAAAGGAGAGGCCCTCTGCACTCGCTTAGAAGCCCTGTTTTTTTTATTCTTGGAATATTTTTAGGTAAATCCCTTTCTCATACCCCGGAGGCCATATCTTATATTTCCAAATCCTAGGGAGACCTTGACGACGAAAAGTACTGTGTCTTTGGCCGCTGAGGACCCCACCGCCAACGGGGGGGGAGGGGGGGAGCTCAACAACCAGCCACTTTCTTAGCTACACCACGGTGCACTTGCCCAAGAGAGTTGAAGTAAAACCGTTGTAGGTACATACACAATCTTGTCAAACCCCATCTTCCTTTGCATTAATGCCATATCGTTGTTGGCTTTAGCTTAGATTAACTTCTCAAGGCATTCACAGCGACAAATGCTGTTGAAAATTGGCTGCTGGCGATGGCGGACTATATACCTACTCAGCTGATCACATGCGCTCTACATTGAGCAGGCTATATACCTATTCAGCTGATCACCTGCGCTCTATATTGAGTAGGCTATATACCTACCCAGCTGATCACCTGCGCTCTGTATTGAGTAGGCTATATACCTACTCAGCTGATCACCTGCGCTCCATATTGAGCACGGCATTGCTCAAACGTCTTGAGACGTTCAACGATAAAACGAAAACACGCATCAAGGTGCATTCATGTGCACTGGATGGCTTTGGCAGGCGTTCATCTCGTGACATTAAAAATGAAGTAAGATGTTTGATTATGTGGTAGAATTTAGTAACCAAGTTACAAAATTGCTATTCAAGGTCTTTCGCTGAGTGTACTTGAAATAGTATGGGATAATTGGACACCCTTTTGCTTGGTAAGTGCTGCAACATGCTTAAAAAGGCTGCGTTTGTACAATGGCTTTCACAAGTGAGATAATATCGACAAGTTTCAAATTAAATACAAAATAAAACGTAACATAGAGTGGTATAATATGGTGTTTCTTGCAAATACCGGGCATGGCTCTAATAAAGAGGGTAAGCCTCCCGTACTGTACGGTTGTCCGAAGTTCCTGCCACCGCCAGTCGGAAGGCTGTGTAATGCGGCACAGTTTGCATGTACGAGACAGGTGTTTTCTCACCGCCATCTATTGAGCAGTTCAGGAACGGAACCGTTGTGTCCCGAAGCATAAAGCATCTGGATTTTAGTGGGCGAATGGATTAATACAGTAAATTGGTCCAGTTGATCTCGTATTTCCGTACTTTCAGCCATCGCTGGACACCTTCATTTGGGATGGGAGACGTTTCATGATTTTCTAAAAAGCGAAACATCTATTACATGCCGAAGGTCCAACGTTGTTCTTCGGAGTCCCACAGGGGTTCAACTTTCTCAACCCTCTTTGCCCAGCAATCTCAAACATGCTTGCAGTGCATTTAAAGGTTCTGGTGATGAACCGCTTCTTTCGTATTAGTCGTGTGTGTGTGTGTGTGTGTGTGTGTGTGTGTGTGTGTGTGTGTGTGTGTGTGTGTGTGTGTGTGTATGTGTGTGTGTGTGTGTGTGTGCGTGTGTGTGTGTGTGTGTGTGCGTGTGTGTGTGTGTGTGTGTGTGTGTGTGTGTGTGTGTGTGTGTGTGTGTGTGTGTGTGTGTGTGTGTGTGTGTGTGTGTGTGTGTGTGTGTGTGTGTGTGTGTGTGTGTGTGTGTGTGTGTGTGTGTGTGTGTGTGTGTGTGTGTGTGTGTGTGTGTGTGTGTGTGTGTGTGTGTGTGTGTGTGACCCGTGCTCACCTTTTCTGCCCAGGTGTACCCAGATCAAGACATATTCGTGGGATAACGCTCAGGTGATCCTAGTAGGCAACAAGTGCGACATGGAGGACGAACGGGTCATCAGCTACGAGCGCGGCAAACAGCTGGCTGATCAGCTCGGCCTCGAGTTCTTCGAGACATCAGCCAAGGAAAATATAAATGTCAAGGTCAGAAACGGCACGCGACAGGATGTTTATTAGGACGCTAACATTGATGTTTAAAGTTTGAAAGGAGGCTCATGCTGATGTGGCTTGAGTTCTAATGACAACGACATGGTTAGAAGATATTGTTAATATGACAAAGTACGCTACGAGGCACCACTTAAACTCTGCTTGAAGTGGGTGGTACTCAAACTGAACTTGGAGTCCCATTTTTCATAGGAATGAGGAATGAACGATTCTGCCGTGTAGTTGCCGGAGCATTCAGATGTTATCTCAAAAGTGGTATTTTTATCTTTGTTCGCCCGCCCATGGCGTCCGCTAAAACGCGGATAGCTGACCTGCTGAATTATAGTACGATGATCCCCACGGGCGTTCCCGTTGGTAATTGTTCGGCTATAACTGGGTTATACATGGGAATCAGTTTTCTTACCAAATGACAGCGATTCTCACGGAAGTATGGTTCCTCTGTGCGTTACTTTGCTATCGCACATTCATCCTGCAGTGGCAGATCAACGTTAAAAGAGCAACTCAAAACGTGCAAAATAGCCTTATTCCAATGTTTCAGCTTCAAACAAGTACTAGCCGTTAATTGAGCAAACACGTAATAAAGATAAAGTACATATATGCCACGGAATGATTGGAGATCTTTTGGTTATCATGCCGTTTGCGTTTAAGACCCCTCCCCCTGAAATTCATCAAGCCAGTAGTAGCGGGGAAGCGGCGGACACCCGAAAATGTACGTCGTGCTCTCAACCTCCCAGTCCAAGCTCCCCCGTCAAGATGTCTTCTCTTGACCCTCACAAAATTGTGATGTAAAGACGCAAATAAAAAAATTCACGGTGAGAAAAACAGCGGTTATAGCGTTAAGAAATGTTATAGCGCTAAGCTCTGTCATAGCGTGAAAAGCTGTTCTAGCGCTAAGACCTGCGTCTCGTTTTCAGGCTGTCTTCGAGCGTCTAGTGGACATCATCTGCGACAAGATGTCCGAGAGCTTAGATTCTGACCCGAACATGATGAGCGCCAGCAAAGGCACTCGGCTCACCGACCAGCAGCCCCCGAGCAGTGCGCCCTGCAACTGCTAACACGGCGCCGCCTCTAGCGGTCACCCCTGGGTCAGGAGGTCAGGGGGAGCCAACCCGCCGCTGGCCGGCAGCCGCCGTGCCAGCCGCAGTGTGTTACCTGGAGGTCGGAGGCCGCGACGGGTCGAAGACCCCTGGCGTCGTCACTGCGTTTGGCCGGCAAGCGTGCAGTTTGGGGTCAGGGGTCGGTCAGAGGTCACGCACATGCCAGTGAAGGCCTCGCCCGCGTGACATCAGAGCTCAGCCGCCCTGGTGACCCGCTTCCACGAGGCTAACGCGCACAAGCCGCGCCCCTCGACGACCCAGCAGACACAGCCGTAAATAGACAGACGACACGAGTCTCTGACCGGGCACGCGTCGTTTCGGTGCGCGCCGGAGGCTCGGGCCTGCGATTTACAGGGTCCACCGAAGCCCCTTGATCCCCGACGGGCGCCATGTGCTGACGTCCGGCTGGCGGGGCAGTTAGACAGAGGAGATCAATGCCGCCGCGGCCGCCGACACGGCCCGGGTCACCAGGCCGGAAATCCCGCGAATATGTCACACAATTATCCGGGCCGGCGGCGTCAGCTGTCGCGTGAGCCCTCTGATCGACCTCTGCTCCGCCGAGCAGGCCGGCCGACCGCCGGACGACGCGCCTCCCAGTGCAGTCCCGTGCCGTGCAGGAGCGGGGCTGGCGGCGGGCCGCCTGTCCGTGACGGCCGGGCGGCCTCCTGACTGCGCGCTCTCACTGTGACCGACCCGCTCTCTTCTCGTTCTCGGTGTCTGTCTGCTTTTCTGGCGCAGCGCGGCGCGCCGCTCCGTTCTGTCCCCGGTGCCGACGGCACCCTTGTCGCCCGCCCGAATTTCTCGTAGGGGGGCGCCTGCGCCGCGCGCCGTGGCCTGCGACGCTCTGTCTGCTATAGAGCTGTGTTTCACACCCCACATTTTCCGCTGCCGGAAAGCAATCAAACCGTGGACAGAGCGTGGGCCAAGCATGTTCAGAGAGCCGTCAGCGGACGTCCCAGTATCCCCGCCGCGTGTGTAGCTCGCCCACCCGTCTAGTGCCAGTGAGACCCCACCCCTCGCCCCAATCCCGCCCCAAAGCCCGCCCCTCTATATAGACTGTGAGTTTGTACGTGTAACTGTGAGCTGTGTGCGTCTGTGTCGGAGCCTCGCGCCCTCCCTTTCACCCCTCGCTTCCACTAAACGCCCGGCGCTGGCGCGGCCCACCGCATCGCTTTCTACTTGGTTCTCCGTTCGACACCGGGCCGCGTCGCCACACTCTCCCCGGGAGCTATCCGACCGCTCGGTCGCGCGAGCCCTTCAGCCGCCACCAGCTTCCATCCCCCGTCTCACCGCCTGCGAGATCAGAACGAAGACAAGAGGTGCTGGGTGGCACCCCTCTTCGGTGTACGTCTTCGCCGCGATGCCCGGCGCCCCGCCAGCCAGTTTTCGGTTGTATGCGCGTGCGACAGACGGGGCTGGATCTGAACGCATGCTTTGACCTCGCGGCAGCTTTGGTTTGTGCCGCGGTGCCGCCTTCACTAGAAGTTGGCGTCCGTGAACTGGTGTGTATCGGCATATTTCAGTTGAATATTTGTACATACATGTAGCAGGACGCGTGCTTCCTCCTGCAAATGGGTTTATGATTGTAAATAATGTAGAAATCGAGTTACGTTGCCACCTAGGAAAAATACACATGTTAAATGTCGTCTTCGCGTACTTCGCGAAAGGTTCTTCGTGACTTGAGTGAATCGCGTTGATTCGACCGCGAACATTCAGAGAAAAGCCGACACGCACTGGCCACAAGCTGTCATCTACGACTGGCTTTGAACTACATACGAAGGTTTTGAAAGACAGCCAACCGCACAGTCCAGATAAAACAAATAATAGTATTTGTATAGCTGTGCGCCATTCAGAATCATGCGGCATATTTTTTCTGGGTCCAAGGGCGCCTCCAATCAATTTTTCGGCAGTCATTGCGTTTCATGGCCGCACTGTCGACGATGCAATAGGGTGATCTACGGATATTCCGTCGGGATAACGCATGCGTCTCGCACTTTGTCCGAACTGCCATCAAGTACCATAAATGCTCATGATCATTGGCACCTGCGCCGCCATATTTTTCACCTACGCGAACTACACATCATGCCATTCAACGGGTCTTAGCTTACCGTATCAGAGACAGGTCCTTGTTCCAAGACCCCGGAAACACACGTCATGTTTTAATGCAGTATATATTTAATATATAAAGAATACAGTTCTAAACTATGGCCTCTTGTCGGTCAGGGGAAGCTTTATCAGTAGTGGATGGCAGCGCCCCTGACGACCTGAGCTAAACTAATCCAGGTTCGCGGCGACGGACACAGGCCGACAGCGGCTGACCAGTGATTATGCAGAAGGCGCACGGCGCCCCGCCCTTGGCTTCCCCTGACATTCAGACAACGGCTTCCCAACGGCGTCTGACACAAGGCGTGGGCCAGTTCAAATGGTAAATCGGTGGTGTTAGCGCATGGGCATTATCTCATTCGCTTTGCGTGTTTTGATGACATCTAGGGACAAGCGGTGTTAAACGTCAGAGTCAAGTTTCGATACATAATGAGCGCCCTCTCCCGACCTGAAAACATATTCTAGTAACTAACGGCTCCAGCCAGATTAAATGGCATTAATCGTTATACCGGACCCATATCACTGGGAGGTGCATTCCTATTTCACATGGCAGGAGGGCATGTCAACACACACAATACATCACATGCCCACCACGTGAATATCCACAACAAACCAGCTGGTGCACGGCCTGGTAGGAATGTCTTAACGTACGGCAACCAATACTAAAGCTCAGCAGACTTCAGATAAAACCAAAGAAACTTCACAATCGCCATACTTCTACACTGCAAAATACTGTCAACTCCGCAGTGGGCAATGAAACAAGCAATCTCACGTTTCGACAATCTCGCCTTTTGACATCACAGTTTGTGGATAGTGTGCTCCAACTGGAGCGGTTCGGCGCAGCCCCCACGTCACCAGCATCTCAGAAGCAGCATCAGCAGCGCGCCCGTACGGCCGCCGTTCGTCACGCCGCCGCCCCACCAGGCGGCGGAGGTCGGCGGCGGGTGTGAAGCCCGCAGTACGAGCCTAAGCTCCACGGCCACGTCCAGAGCCGCCTCGCCATCCCACCGACCCCGAGCACATCGCATGGCACGAACGACACGCCAGGCGCCAACATTAGACCTAGCCAAGTAACAACAGGGCGCGAAACCGATGCCATTCCGCGATCACGTCGGCCGGTGGCCACACCGAGCTAGTCAGCACACGTTAGTCACGTCCACTCCTGCACATCTGCCGGTGGCCACGCCAACCTAGTCAGCACACGTTAGTCACGTCCACTCCTGCACATCTGCCGATGGCCACGCCAAGCTAGTCAGCACACGTTAGCCACGTCCACTCCTGCACATCCGCCGGCGAGCTAACTCCTCCAGTGAATCCAGAAACGAGGGCCCCATAACATTGGAAGGCGAGTGCACCATTAGCCGATCAGACGGAGCCACAGGCGAAGGAACCACAGTTAGGTCATTTCAGGGATGCCAGATACAACCCATCTGGTGACAGCTACGCCTCGTCGATCGGCCACGCGCTCCCTACGAAAAGACGGCGGCGCCACCACGCTAACGGCATTCCAAGACTCCTGACGACTAAGATGCTGTTCTCAACAAACACGTCGGCTCGCTAATCAGCACGCATGGCGCCCAACACAAGCCTATCTGTTTCCTCCTCCTCTCCGCTATCCCCGTACTGTTTCAGGCGACCCAGCCACACAGCATGCTACACCCCCCATCTAGCCTAGCTGAACATGGCGGCGCCCAGCGTGAGCACGTCGGAGCAGGTGTCGCACACCCGGATCGGCTTGTTTATGTTATATTTGACGATGGGCAGTTGCCGGTCCGAACAGCGATTGCAGAGTAGGCGGCCGCAGTGGCGGCTGCCGAGGAGAAGATAGGCGCGGCAGTCAGGGCACCGACCACAAGAAGCCACCGACGGATACACCGCGCTAAAGATGGGAGGGGGGGGGAGGATACGCGACGGTCACATGGCAGTGAGGAGCGGGGAGGGGACCCGTGAACGGTGGGTTCGAGACTGGGCAGGCCATGTCGCACGGTCACCCGAAGAGTAAGGTAACCATAGCAGGAAACACTGGATGACACCGCGCACAGCCGGCGACAGCCAAAACAAGTTTCTTTCACCAGCATGACAAATCTCGAGTAGCGGTTGGTCTGTCTACAGGTGCCGCTACAACCCTTGCCCGTCAGCTCAATTCTTCATTTCATGCGCCGTCAAATGTGAGCGGAAAGAAGCGCACCGCGAACAAGCACCGCTCGGCTGGCGCAAACGCCGACCGTGGTCGCCCTGAGCACGTCACTAACCAGTGGTGTTTCCTGGTGGCGATGCCGAACTTGGTGCTGCACTCCATGCAGTAGTCGCCGTCGCACCAGCCCGGCTCTTGGGATAGCGCGTCCAGCAGCCTGTGGCAGAGCGGACGGGCTCAGCGGCTGCTCAGCGGTGGGCCCTGCTCAGCAGCGGGTGAGGCTCAGCGGCCGCTCAGAAGCGGGTCCAGCCCAGCGGCCGCTCAGCGGCGGGCTCGGCTCAGCAGCGGGTCCGGCTCAGCGGTGGGTCCCGCTCAGCAGCGGATCCGGCTCAGCGGCCGCTCATCGGCGGGTCCGGCGCACTGGATTCCGAGCGTTCGTGATGTATCGTCACATGCTTACCTGGGCTTGCTGTGAGGCGTCACGAGCAGTCCGCTACTTTGGATTACAATGCATTCAGTGAGTGACGTCCAAGCCATCGTTTGCAGACGCGCACGACGTGCTTATATCAGCGACAGCATGTCTGAATCACTTGATACCTGCACGCCATGCCAATGGCCGAGAACACAGTCTGAGATCACGAAGCCCTACCAGTCAAGTGACCTCGTGTTACAAGCCGGTTATGCTTCACCGGGTCACGTTTCCGGCTTTACGACATTGCGAAGAAGCAATCATCGGCCGACCAAGAGCGCACTGACGGGCCTTTCCAACGCCCGACTGGAGAAGGCTTGACGTCGGAGCGCTGCCCGCGCCAGGGTAGACATTACTAGGCGCAAGACCGAAGTGGAGAACACTCTCTATCCGCAGACGCACTTCCGAGCCTCCGTCGACTTTGCGCCGCTCATCGGCGCCGGGGAGCCTCACCTGAAGAGCAGCTGCTTAGTGGCCACCTGGAAGTTGAAGATGGAGACGCCCTGGTTGTTCATGATGCCGAGCGAGGCACCCGCCTTCACCAGCGTCATGCACAGGTTGACGTTGCCCTTCATGTAGGCCAGCAGCAGCGCTGGAGGGCGGGAGGACCCCGTCACATAACACGAGGCGTTACGTCGGATTCAGCTTAGTTTTCCTCAAACGAGCTGGAAACTAGCTTCCAAAACGCAATTTTTGAATCCCCAATATTTCATACAAATGACAACTGATCGGTTCCATGTTTTGACTTCGGCCGTAACGCTGTGAACTGAAACATTGCCAGAGATCAGTATCTGCCATAAGTATCACTATGGTATTCAGCTGCCATGGGTATCACTACGGTATTCAGCTGCCATAGATATCACTATGGTATTCAGCTCCCGTAGGTATCACTATGGTATTCTGCTCCCATAGGTATCACTATGGTATTCAGCTCACGTAGGCATCACTATGGTGTTCAGCAGACCAACTGAATTCACTCCTCAAAGCAGTGAACTTGTAGGCACCCGCAGCAAAACGTGTCTCGCAAGAACCGCCCCGCACACCCGTGACAGCGCCGGAGCCCGCGCCGCTCGGCAAGCCCCTCACCTGTGTTGCCGTCCGCCTCCTGTCTGTTGAGCGGATAGCGAGGCATCGACTCCAGAAATAGCTGACAGATGGCAGCAGCGTTGTCGCGGCCCAGTGCCGCCACCACGTGCAGCGGGTTGCGGCCACGCAGGTTGGTCGACTCGGCGTCGATCTGGGACTCAGTCAGCAGCACGCGCACCGTGGCCAGGTGACCCTCCTGCGGGCGCAGCCGTAGACAGTATAACGGCAGGGAAACTGGCGGCCATAAGAGCTATGCTGGGCGGAGTGCGGTGCCGGGGCCGGCCAACTCAGGACTATTATAACGACTGGGCCCAGAGGAATGTCAAAACCACGCCAGTGTCTTGGATCAGCGTGAGTCGACATCTCCAGAACTGATAACGGATGTGGGCTGAATCAGAACTCAACAGACTGGGATGGAAATTACGCAGCGTCCGTCGGTGGACAATACTCTCATGAGCATGAGCTCTAGCGTCAAAAAAATCCCACAGCTCACGCTGACAGCAAACTCGCCATGCAGATCCAGCTGCTGGCTACACGCTCCGGAGCTCACAAACTCCGCTCGCTCTCAACGACGCATTTTCGTCCAAAACACAGCTGTGTCGGTTTTTCACGACATGGTTCTTACTTGCAGTGGGCGAATGCCCTAAAACTCCGTTCAGCGACACCTGCACTGACAGGCTACCCCGCTGACAAGGTCACCACCTGGCTGACGCGTGCCGTTCCCCCCCCCCCCCTTCCCCTCCTCATCTACCGCTGCCGCCGATCCCACCTTGCAGGCCACGTGCAAGGCGTTGTCGACGTTGTTGTCGACAGCGTTGAAGTCGACGCCCTTGTCGAGCAGGACGGACACGCACTGGTGGCAGTCTCGCTCTGCCGCCAGGTGCAGCGCCGTCTGCTTCAGCGGCGTGCACTCGTCCACCCGCGCACCGGCCAGCATCAGGTTCCTGCCCGGGCGGCGGCGGTCACGGAAGCGACAGGTGCACTCCGGCGGCCTCGGCGGCCCGCTGGTGAGGGTGAGGGGCCCACTGGCGGCAGCTGAGACACAGAGCCAGACAATCCCTCAGTTGTTCGACCTATCTCTAAGTAAAAGCCATCGCGACTTTATATATATATATATATATATATATATATATATATATATATATATATATATATACCAAAGTATCACCAGTCACATATTCCAAGGATACGCCCACGACGGGCGCTAATGGGCGCTGCATGACCTTCAGCAGTCGATACGCCCTAAAACCCCAAATCATCATCATCGTCGATACGCCCACGACGAACACACTCCACCGAGCTGTAGCCTGACCCCAGCTCTCGAGCCCGGTGCGCCGCCGCCGCCCACCTCAGAATGATCTCGGAGTCGGCCTGGGCGGCCAGGTGCAGCGGCGTCAGGTGCAGCGAGTCGCGTGTGCGCGAGTGCACGTTCACGTGGATCGACAGCAGGAACATCACCGCCTCGATGTCCTTCTTCTCAATGGCCGCGTGCAGAAGTTGCGACCGCGGTTGTCATACTGCGAACCAGCCGCGGACGAGCGCGTCAGCGCCGCCGACAAGTGGAACTGTGTCCGGCACTTGTAATGCAGGCCATGGAGGGCGTGGCATCTGGTTCGGGTTGTTATTTCAGCATCAAGTGCATCACGACGCGCCACCAATATAATCCAGCCAAGTACAAGCGGAATATGTACCCCACATACAAACGTCAGACAATATGGGCATGAACCGTCGAACGACGGCACGACTGAAAACTTCATAAACAGTATAACTACAACAGACGTCCCGACAGCAAATGTAACATACCGGCGCTCTACAGGCCACCGATACTATGGGGCACGTGTAGGCGCTGCTAAATGAGACCACAACGGACGCTCTCCCTCTCCCTCTCTGTTCTCTCTCTCTCTCTCTCTCTCTCTCTCCTCTCTCTCTCTCTCTCTCTCTCTCTCTCTCTCTCTCTCTCTCTCTCTCTCTCTCTCCTCTCTCTCTCTCTCTCTCTCTCTCTCTCTCTCTCTCTCTCTCTCTCTCTCTCTCTCTCTCTCTCTCTCTCTCTCTCTCTCTCTCTCTCTCTCTCTCTCTCTCTCTCTCTCTGTCTCTCTCTCTCCCTCTCTCTCTCTCTCTCTCTCTCTCTCCTCTCTATCTCTCTCTCTCTCTCTCTCTCTCTCTCTCTCTCTCTCTCTCTCTCTCTCTCTCTCTCTCTCTCTCTCTCTCTCTCTCTCTCTTCTCTCTCTCTCTCTCTCTCTCTCTCTCTCTCTCTCTCTCTCTCTCTCTCCTCTCTCTCTCTCTCTCTCTCTCTCTCTCTCTCTCTCTCTCTCTCTCTCTCTCTCTCTATCTCTCTCTCTCGCTCTCTCTCTCTCTCTCTCTCGCTCTCCTCTCTCGCTCTCTCTCGCTCTCTCTCTCGCTCTCTCTCTCTCTCTCGCTCTCGCTCTCTCTCGCTCCTTCGCTCTCGCTCTCGCTCTCGCTCTCGCTCTCGCTCTCTCTCTCCCGCTGACCTGCTCGGCCACTCCCGGCTCCCGGCGAGGATGGCCTGCGCCGCCTTGTTGTTCTTCATGCCCATGGCCAGTGTGAAGGGGGGCGCGGCCCAGTTTGTCGCGCGCCGTCAGGTCGGTGCCCGGCGCCGACAGCAGCAGCCCGATGATGGCCGCGTGGCCGTTCTCGATCGCCACGTGCAGCGGCGTCTTCTGGTCACAGTCCTGCCGGCATGAGCGACGGCCGCCAGCCGTGATGCGCGACCGGCCTGACGGGTGTCGTGCAGCTGGCCTGCACATATCACGGTGAGCAGCACGGCAGACAACGACAAGACGACGGAAATGGCATCTGGGGATCGCCAAAGGTAGCTGATTACATTCGACACTTGTTCACGCCAATCATCTTGTCCGACGCTCTCACCGGGCGTTGGCGGCGGCTCCGTGCTCCAGCAGTGTCTGGACGGTCTGCTGCAGGCCCCACTGGGCGCACAGGTGGAGCGGCGTCAGCAGGTCGCGCGCCTCGTCCCCACCCCGGCCGTCCGGGCCCGGCCGGCGCGCGCTGCTCACGTCACAGCCGCCCCCCCCCTGTGCGGAGGGCACGCGACTGGGTCATGTCACGTGATCTGGTCACGGGGTCCGCTCTCGTCGTGAACCGGTGCTCGGCACAGCCTGCACAGTACTGTAATCGTTTAAATCATTTGTCGAGCCAAGAAGCTAAGCGTATCACATGCACGCACGCAACGCGCGCACGCGCACAAGCGCACACGCGCACGACCGCGTGCACGTACACTTTCTAAGCGGCTTGGCCCTGGTGTGGTGGGGATCGTAAATCGGAGGACGTCACAAAATCACGGAAGCACGGTACCATCAGAACAGACTTCACATGAGAACCAAAGCCAATGGCCGCGTATACCAGCCCCACCTGCGTATGAGGAAGGAGGCGATCTCCTCGTTGTTCTCGTCGATAGCGCGGTGCAGCAGCGTTTTGTAGCAGCCCTCGGGCCCCTCAGCCCAGCAGCTGTGTCGGCACCGTGTCTGGGGGAGGGCGAGGGCGTGGCCGCTACAATGGCGTGCGATAACAGCAGGTTAACAGGCATATGGGGCATAACAAAGCGAACGGAGGACGTCAGGGCTGACTGGCGGGCTCTGCTGTCGCTGGAAATCGTCGGTCAAACCCGCCCTGCGGCTCACTGCCGGTCGAGTGGAACAGAAAGCGCTTCTCTCACCGGACCCACAGGCCTAGCGCTCACTAGAACATGAAAGTCACAGCACTCAGCAGACCAGCTGAGCTAAGCGCGCCGCCAAGCGCGGTCGGGAGCGATGCCCGCTCCTCCCTGGTTACCCCCGCACGCCTCTACCTCGGTGTAGTGTGTGTGTGTGCGTGTATGAATGAGCAAAGGTTGCTTGGGTATTGTACCCGATTGTCTCCGCGTACCAGCATGCTTCTCGACAAGATCGTGACGTCCAGGACGTGACGCTCGTCGCAGATCTGGGCTTCCATTGCAACGTGAGCGCATGATGTGTCCACTCACACCCAGCATGCACCAAGACTTGGCCCGTTTCCTGACTTTGCTGGCCGTCGTCCGTTGTACTGGTGCTTGTCTGCCACCCCTCACGCAGTCCGACGCCGCGGCTCGACCATGCCCGCCGGGCCCGCGCTCCGCCAGCTACTGTCCACCCCGGCACAGAGTAGCTATCCTCAGGAACGACTACACGGGCCTAGAGACCCAAATGCGACGCGTGCCGATTGGCTACCCGGGAGTCCCGCTCGTCCTCTGTTTGGTTTGGTTGTTTGGATTATAGCCCTTTCGACCAGAAATGATCATTTCAGGACTAAAGCATGGAGGAGATATGGATAACGGTGGGGCAGGACTTTATATGCCTGGGAGCCAACTGCCGAATTTAGCCCGCAGCAAGCGACCCCCTCGGAGTTGTGCGCTGGGCGCGCGGTCGGGGTCCCCCTCCAGCTGGCCTTTCGCCCCATTCGTGACTGACGCATACAACCTTCCTCGGATGAGCGGGGCGTTGTGAGGATCAGGATTAAAGCAAGAAAAGAGGATGAGAGGGTCGGATGTCGTCATCTGTGGTGATTTCAGCTGTGATTTGCGGAATGAACACGGTGAGCCAGCGCGTCAGCGTTTTATTTATTTCTTTTCTTTCTTTTTGACAGATCACCGTCTTGACCAGCTTTTGACCATACCGACTTTCCTCACTGGTTCTCTTTTAGATATGGGCATCGTTCAAAAGCGTGACTGTGCCATCGAGCGTAAATGCAGCGCTAACTTCGTCAATATAGCCCGCAAAATTGACCAGTGTACATGTCCCCGGCGTTTGCAACATTCCCCTGGTCCATGTCATTTCAAAGCTGGTAACCCATCTGACCCATCCAATTTCCATCCGATATCTCTCGCTCCTGTCACGCCAAAGCGGTCGAGCGAGTCGTCCAACGGCACCTTTACCACTACCCATTCTACAACCATCTCCTTGCATGCTCCCAGCACGGTTTCTGTCCTCGTCGCTCGACGGCAACCGCGCTTAGTGTCGGTCTCCGACCACAACCACCGACAGGACAGATTTCTCTACTGTGCGTTAATGATGTAAGTAAATGTTTTTAACGTCAATGATCCTCCAATTTTGATTCAGGAGCTGCGGATGCACGGTTATTGAGACCCCTCCTGGTTCCCACCTATATTCAGAGGCGCAGCCAGAAAGTGTGCCTGAATGATGGGTGTTGACGCAGGGTGCTGTCGCGGCCGTTTGCCTACAGCATGAGTGTATTCCACGGTTCAGCGTTGGGCTCACTTCTTTTCACAGTTTTATCGAACGATCTGTCTTTGTACAAAAAGCACGAGTTTTTCAATGTGTAAATGACACCCAAGTTTTGGTGGGCGGCCTGAAGAACGACCTTAAGGGGCGTATTACTTGCATAGAGGCCCCCGCTTGCGTCACTCAGACGCTCGTTCCGTTCGTATTGCCCTTATGGTGAACGCAACCAAAACGCAACTTATCACTTTCGGCAGTTGTCAAAATTTTCGCGCTCTTCTGGACTTCACCATACGTTTTTCGTGACGCTGCGCTGCGACCCGCGTACGAAGGTGAGGAATCTGGGTATTGTCTTCGAAGCGCCTTGTCCTGGGATCCACATGTGTCCGAGCTCAGCCGCCGGCGAACTGGCTTGCTGGTGGGCCCGTCCCATGCGCGACACTGCCTTCCAGACAAGGTCATCAAAACTCTTGCGACGGCGTTGGTGATCACGCAGGTCAGATACTGTCTCAATGGTTATGGCAATGGCATGGATAAAAAAACTTTGACAAATCTAAAAGATCCTAAATTTTGCTGTCTGACTGATCCTTGGGCGACGCAGATTTGACCATGTGTCTGAGCTGCGTGAAACACTTCGACGGATGTCACCTCGACACATGGCAGGGCTTCAAGTGGTCAGCCTGGCTGATAAAGTGACGCTGCACGGCGAGCCCGATATGCTGGGAGCCATGTTTGTGTTAAACCGCGACCCACGTGCGCGACCCACTCCGCAGGGCAGACTCCCACACCTCCCTAGGCCGAGGGCCGAGGCCGGCAGGGGAAGTTTTGGCTCCCACGCAACAGCATTGTGCAATGCACTGTTAGCTGACATCACGCAACTAACAAAACAGCGCGTCGTACGCGCGGTGAGAACGCATCTGTTTGAGCGCTAATGCTTTTGGTAGCTGGTGAATGGGTTCCTGTTTCGCATGTTTTGTGTTTTAGCTGCATGCTCTGATCACCTGTACTTTTGACACGGGACTGAAATGGCCGCGCTTCATTGTGGATGGCCCTATGGAGGCAATCAAACACAAAACAAAACAGCAGACAGGCCTCTCACCAGACTATCACAAGTCATGACCGTCATCAGACCAGCAGACCTGCCCCTCACCAGACCAGCAGACCCGGCTCTCACCTGACCAGCAGACCTGCCCCTCACCAGAGCAGCAGATTTGTCCCTCACCAGACCAGCAGATCCGGCTCTCACCTGACCAGCGGACCTGCCCCTCACCAGACCAGCAGACCTGCCCCTCACCAGAGCAGCAGACCTGTCCCTCACCAGACCAGCAGACCCGGCTCTCACCTGACCAGCAGACCTGCCCCCACCTAATCAGCAGACCCGGCCCTCACCTGACTAGCAGATCTGGCCCTCACATGACTAGAAGTCCCAGCTCCCACCTGACCAATAGACCTGCCCCTCACAAGACCAGCAGACCCGGCCCTCACCTGACCAGTACGGAGGCGGCCTCGGTGTGCGCTGCCGCCAGCGCCTGCCAGAGCGGCGGGTCCTGACCCGGCGCCGGTGACAGGTCGGCGCCTGACCGACACAGCTGCTCCGTCACCGCCAGCAGACCGCGCTGGATGCTCAGCTGCAGCGGCGACGTGCCCTCGCCGTTCCTGCGGACGAGGTCAGGGCCGGGTCAGGGCGGGGTCAGGGTGAGGTCAAGGTAAGGTCGGCCCCAGGCAGGGCAGGGTGCCATGCACTGAAGCGGCATGGGGACGGTGCAGTAGTGGGGTTGTTCCCGACGGTGTGGCGATGGAGTGGAGTTGGTTTCGGCTTAGGGGTGGGAAGTGTCGTCGGCTGCAGTGGTAGCGGCAGTGTCGGACCACAGGTGGGACGTCTTCTCCGATCTTCCGGGCAGAGTCAGGACAAGCTCCGGGCTGAAGGAGCACCCGACTCCTACACGGGGATACTCGGTGTGATATACCAGCAGCTGTGTGGCACCTCTCCGTATGCTGCGGCACTATGACCCTTTCAAACAGCCACATGCATAACTCGGCGAAGCCAGAGAACGCACCTGCGCTGAGCAGCAAAAACAGTGATTTCTGTGGGCGCGAAACACGTGCGGCATAGCAACAATGTCAAAAGAACACAGACGCCGTTTGAAATCGAGGACGCGCCACGCCAATGCAGAGGCAATGTCAGCAGTAGGCGGCACCGACAGCACACGTGTAGCGGCGCGCCGCATGCCGACTCTGCGGCCCAGTAGGAGGTAAAATCTGACCCACTTGAACGCCTACGGTGTCAACGCGATTTAAGAAATGACCCGGAGCCCTAAAACGTTTCAGGCTGCAAAGACTGCCTTCAGGCTGTGAGGGACGTTCCTGGAGAGCCTAGAACTGATAAGCTCGTTTTCCCTGACTTACGCGGTATGTCGCGAGTACCAGAGCTGGCCAATCCACTTAATCACTCGACATTACAGTTCACTCTCAACGTGACCAAAGGAGCCGCACGCGTCAGAAGAGTACCCAATATCAACCAAACTGAGCACGTGCTCAAGTCCTGTGTTAAGAATAAAGGGCTCTGAAGCAAAACAGAAGCTTAATAGCATGCACCTGTACATATAATAGTATATCCTACTGTACCACGCGGTAAGGTCTCGGCGCACGCGACCCTCACCGGACGTCTATGTCAGCGCCATTGTGCATCAGGAAGGTGGCCGCCTGGACGTTGCCGGCACCGATGGCGCGGTGCAGCAGCGTCTGGCCCTCCAGGTCCGGGATGTTGACAGAGGCCCCGTACTGGATCAGCTCCAGCGCCACCTGCACAGCGGGAGACGTCAGTACAGCGTCTGGCCCTCCAGGTCCGGGATGTTGACAGAGGCCCCGTACTGGATCAGCTCCAGCGCCACCTGCACAGCGGGAGACGTCAGAGTACAGCGGCTGGCCCTCCAGGTCCGGGATGTTGACAGAGGCCCCGCTCTGGATCAGCTCCAACGCCACTTGCCGAGCGGAAAGTGACAGCCTCAGCACCGCCTGGGCGACAGGGGGGACGGTGGCTCGAGCGCCGCCGGAGATCCCCGGGATCGCCACAGCCTGCCGCCGAGACGGCGGGCCAGCCGACAAGGCGACCTCCAGCGCCAGATCGGCGCCGCCCTCACCTCGGTCTGGTTCAGATCCAGCGCCAGCGCAAGCGGCGTCTGGTCGTTCGAGTCCTTCAGGTTCAGGTCCGGCACCACTGCGTTGGCGTCGCCGGACGCCTCCACCGAGCCTGACGGACAAAAGCGGGGATATGACGCATGGACCGGTGCGCAATCACCGAGAAGTCACAAAGCAGTAGAATCGCACACAGCACGTCCTCTAGTCAGCACAATAGGAGCGGAAGCACTGACATCTGCGGCCTGACATAGCGTCGTCACGTGATGGAATCGACGCTAGTGGTCTAACATGCCGCCATCTGGTGTCGGCGGACCAGACCTGGTCGCGCTAGGTGGCCCAACGTGAATCTCAGTATGTGCCAGCTCCGCTCTGGCTGAAAGGCATGAGCCTGTAGTCCAGTGTGGCGGCTGTCACGGCGTCGTGCCGGCGCTGTGTGGCAGGTAGCGCGGCGTCGTGCCGGTGCTGTGTGGCAGCTGTCACGGCGTCGTGCCGGCGCTGTGTGAAGGCAGCATGCCTCCGTACCACGTGAGGGTGATGTGCGAGGGTGTACTTCTTCACCGTGTGACGGCAGTGTGTGGCGGCACCGTGTGAGCGCGCCGGCTGGCGGCGTGCTACACTCTTGACACGTGCAGCCGTGCACGGCAGGGCCACGGCCCATCCTGCGACTGCCTCAGTACTCCGCCCTGGCGCCGTGTGAGGGCACCGCCTCCACACCCGGTACGCACGCTTATGGTCGAGCAGGGCGGTGACGACGCCGCGGTGCCGGTACTGCACGGCCAGGTGCGCGGCCGTCTGGCGGTGCGGCTCAGTCGCGGCCGCTGCGCCCCGCAGCGTGCCCGCGTTCGGGTTGGTGCCGCGCCGCAGCAGCTCGGCCGCCAGCCGCGCCAGCCCGTGCGACGCCGCCACGTGCAGCGCCGTCTCGCCCTGCGCCGGAGGCAGCACGGGGCCGTCAGCAGGCAAGTCTCACGCGACCGGTACCCTCCGTTAGGCTGGATGTTCAGCCGGTTACCCTTGCGATTCAGGGCACTGGCTCAACATAACACGACACGGCACGGTCTTAGTCAAACTGAAGGTGCGGTTGTTGCTCCAATGCTGACTGTGCAGCCGAGGGCTCACCAGCTGGTTGAAGGAGCCCGTCTTCGCCTTGGCCTTGACGAGGAAGATGGCCTCCTCCTCCAGGTCACTGAGAGCTGCCTGGTGCAGCAGAGTGTCCTGCGTGCCCTGGTTTACCTGAGGTCAAACCGCGTTCAGAACGTCACGACATACCGCGAGGCCGAGGTGGGGCTGCGGTGGTGCTCTCAGGCTGCCTTGTGACAGTGCAATGTCGCGCCGTAACGAAAATGGTGACAAGGTTAGTAACGAGGACAGAGACGGAGTGAAGGACGAAAGAGCCTGCGGCAGGATGGAAGTAGTTCAGCGACATTCCAGGGTAGGACAGAAGAAGCCTTCTTAGCGGAAGCCGCACACAACATCAGGTACTCCTTACTGGAGGGCAGCCGTAGCTTTATGGGTCGGCACTTGCCTAGCTGCGCATTTCAAAACAAAGCTATTCTGAAAAAGAATAACAAGCAGCAGAAGTGCAAGGCATCTCACTCACAAAACTCGTAAAACCATAGTCATGTCAGAACAATGTGGAGACAAACAATGCCAGCTAAAAATGCTTCCCAATGTGAATGTTTTCCAACAACTCCATTACGACCTCTCCCCTTAATGTCGAGCGCACTTCCTACGCCAGTATCAACACCACCACAGCCAGCAGCGCCACATCCGCGCCGCCGTCCCAACTCAGCGCGACACCGGCACTGCCAGCGCCCGCCGCCCGCGCGTCGCCATGGCAACTCACGGCATCGACACTGGCGCCGGCGGTGACCAGCCGCTGCGCCATGCTGTTCTGCTGCACGCCGGCCAGCAGCGCGTGCCAGAGCACGGTGTGACCGCGCAGGTCGCGCAGCTCCCAGTTACACGGCCGCGTCACCAGCACGTCGAACACGGGCGTGCAGCCAGACGAGACGCACACGTGCAGCGGCGTGCTGCGACGGGCGGCCAGGCGGCGGGACGTTAGGCGGCGAGCGGCAGAGCGGGTCAGGGCGTCTTTCACTGACGGACATCTGCTGTGCGTGGAGACCTAGTGGACCGCTAAGCCGGCCCACAAACGCCATCTACAGTAAGATGACGTCCGGCAGTGAGCACCGTGAAAAAAACACCACACGTTGACAAAATGTAAAATGGTAACCTGTTACCACTGCAACACGTTATATGCGTGCCAACACCCATAACTTATATTTTCACCAGCCTGCCGAGTAAGCCACCAGGGTGTCTGTGGGACACGCACTCCGCCAACTAAAAAATCCCCTAATAACGACCTACAATCTCACGCCACGCACGGCTCCCGCCGCCCGTCGCTGTCCCCGACGACGCCGTCTGCGCCCAGGGAGCGCCGTCTCCCACCTGAGCTGGCAGTTCTGGACGTCCGGGTCGGCGCCGGCCTCCAGCAGGCGGCGCGCCAGCCTGCCGCGCCACTCGTCCTGCGGCCCGCCCGTGGCCAGCAGGTGGAGCGGGGCGTCGCCGGAGACGGGCACCGCCGCACCCACCGCCGCGCCGTGCTCGGCCAGGAACAGCGCCGACCGCTCGTCCTCTGCCGCGCAGCGCCGGGGACGGGTCAGGGGTCACGGGTCACGGGTCAGCCGGGGCCGGCTCCGCCAGGAGTAGCGGCGACCGTTCCGCTTCTGCGGGACATGCGAAAATTCTGCTGATGATCGCCAGCAGAAAGAGGCGAACGCAAGATTTGACGGTGGACTGTTCGCTGTGGAGGCAGGATTGGGAGCATGGAGAAAGGAGCACACGCTGGGGGAGGACGAGGGGTGGTGCGTAAAAGAGCTGTGCTACACCAGACATGACATCGAGATATCTGACGCCGTGCGCGAGGGACTGATTTCCGTAGGGACCATGTTCGGGAAGATACCACAAACCCGAGGTCCCACGAGACCCATAGCAAGATACAAGCATTTACGTTTGTTTTAACTGGCATGAAACAACACCAGTAACCAGCAGCGGATGATAAGGAGGAGGAAATGTGAGAGCAAGAAACGAGCCCTTAAAAGCCAAGCTAAGCACTTACTCGCTCCGGTCGAGGCATGAGGTAAAAATGTGACGCGAACGTCCGCTGTTCTCGCCCAGACGGCTGGGTCACGAGGTAATAAAACGGCTACTCTGGCTTTAATATCCTCATGCAAGTGCAGCACACTGAGGCCACAAAGACACGATAAAGCAAGAATGATGGCACAAATATCTGTCGTGTTGGCAAAGCACTCCGTTGCCAAAACGTAGTTTAACGTGCTTGTCAAGAATAACAACTAAGACAATGTTCCATTCGGCGGCCAGGGTGCAGTGAAAAGTTGTTCCGTAAAAGATTATAGCCGCTGCCGACAGCTCCTCCATCTCGCACGAACTATCAAAGCGAGGTGGAAGCTGTCCCACCATTGCCACAAAAGCGGACCTCACCTCGAAGGATGGCCTTGTGTAGCAGTGAGCGCCCTTGGCCGTCTGCGGCGTTTACGTCAACTCGGTGTTTGAGCAGCGTCTCACAGATGGCGGGCTGGTCGAGGCGCAGCGCCAGGTCCAACGGCAGGTTGTCCCGGTCGTCCACCTCGTTTAGCCGGCCCGGAAGCTGCGACAGGTCAGATCAGGTCCGGTCAGGTCCGCAAAAGGCGTGGGGCTAGATCGACTTCGGTTGAAATGCTCTAATGTCCGGCAAATTGGCTACAGAGTGCGTCGATTTTGTAACACGGTATGACATCACGGTGTTTTTTTCTCCCGCGTATGTACCGGCTAAAGCGTTCCTCACGTCATCACATATTTTCGGCACGCTCGAAAAGTTGCACGAGCTCATGAAAAGCGTCCGTTGTAGTCCCTCGAGTGTTCCAAGAAAACAGCGCAGAACGTGTTTCAATGCACTGGCTGTTTTACGACCCGAAACGACAGGGCGTAATGCAATAACGTGGGTTAAGTCCATTTGCATTTAGTTTTATTTCTAGCAGCGTCCGACAAAGCCAAATGGCATATCATTTCCAGCGTGGTTTGTGGCGTAATATTGTTCACGTCGCTGTACACCCACCTACGTGGAACATACCCTTCCAGAGTAACACGTTTAGTTGGCATGATATCTTTTAAACTCGAGACGTACGTTTGTAAACATCAAACGCCATCAAAACCCCTCGAGACTCTCAAACCCAAACAGTGTGGTGCGAAGACCGCAGAAACACGACGAACATATCAGAAACCGATTCCAGTGCAGACTGCGAACAACCACTAGACAGTAAACGACAACATCAAATTCGTGCTGTGCATTGGCCATGCCTCGCCCACTAAAATGCCGCGCTTCCTTTTCAAAGATGCCGGCCTTCGGTCGCAATGGTCAAGGAGATCGTATGGAGAGGCAGCGGGCAGAGCGTGACGATGCCACGCAAAACTCCGCAGCGCAAGACCAAAAATCATGCCGGATGCACGTCCAATATGGTCGCACCAAAAATGCTCCGCTTCATTGTCTGCGACCCCGCCAGCAGGCACGTCATGGCAAGCCCGGTTCGGTCTGGTGCCGATCAGACATGCCAGACCCACCCAATCAGGGCGGAAAAATGACCGCCATGTAGCTGCCGGTGCCGCACCGCCTGCCACTATCGGCCGGAACACACCCTTGTTTGTGACGAGCAGCGACCTTTCCGTTGTCCATTCATGGAGCCAGACGCAGAGCGTGGCCACTTGGTCACCATATCACGTTGCAGGGCCGCAAGGGTGACACAGCGACATAGGGACACCTGTGGCGCCTGGGGAGCCAGCAGCAGCTACTCGCTCCACACATGTCGAACCTTTTCGCTTAGAAAGGAGCATTCTGACAATGTCGAAAGCGCGGCCTCCAGCTCCTGCCCCAGCTCCACCCCCAGCCCCCGCTCCAGCCCAGCCTCAGCCCCAGCTCCAGCCCAGCTCACGCCAAGCCAACCCAGCCTCAGCATTTTGGCCACGCAAACATGACCTGCTAACGTCCGAACCATTCGCCGCCGTTTCGTCATCTTAATCAGCCGACAAACCGATGCGGACGTGCCGCGGCACTGACGAACGATCCCCAGCGCACGACCGCCAGCGCTCCGAGCGCGCGCAATAATCCGACTCGAGATGTGACGCCTCGGAGAAGGTTCATCTCACTCAGCGTGGTGCGCTCAGAGTGGCGTGCTTTAGACGGCCGTTCAGCCGCCCACTTCTGGGCCCGCGCTACAGACTTCGACGCGAGTTCCAGCCGATCGCAGACCGCAGGCATGCCGGCTTCACTTCCAAACGCCGGGCTGTGCGACGCCGATGACCTGTGCATTCGATACCTGATGACCTGACATTCGGGTGCTCGCGGCAGCCGCCCGCAGCCGGGTGCTCACGGGTGCTTGCGGGTGCCCGCGACACAACAGCACCCTGCGGATTATCGCGTGCGCGCGCGCGGCGGGGACGCGCAAGCGCGCCAACACAAATACGGCGCGTCGGCGACGGCGGCGCTTTGAAGCTGTCCGCGGACGGCCCGGCGGTGGCGGTCATTGATGGCCGCCAGAGCACCGCCGGACAGCACAGGACCGCCCCGCACCGCCGAGGGAGCGAGGGGGGGGGGGGGGCACGGTGGCCGCGCTGGCAGCGGCGCAAGCGGTGGACGGCGGCGCCAGTGAATGCCCTGATACATAAGTGCCGGAACAGTACCGAGATTAGAAAAGAGGGGGGGGGGGCAGTGTAAAGAAACAACCTAACATTTACCTAGAATCCAATTTTGGTACCGGGTTTTTATATCGTCATTGCGACGTTCTATAAAACTCTATCCGAAACATATATACGTATAAAATGGCATCATTCCAGCAGTATGTTAATAGCACAGATAGTATATACATAGCGGTATAGCAGTACATAATAGTATGACATATAATATTCTAGCTTTGCCGAAAGACAGGTATTTACAGGGGCATTACCATGATACATCAGCAGCCTCCCCAACTGAAATAGAGAGGCGAGACCAGGTACCGCCCTCACAGTTTCTGCTACACGAGCCTGGTGCCAGCTACCGTAACACACCACAAGAAGGCAATGCTGTCCAAAATGCTGTGCTGTGCAAGAAAGCAGTGCTGTGCAAAAGCAACGTCCGGACTAGAGCAACGCTCGTATGGAAGGGTAGTCTCGGACTGCCATAGCATTTTCCAGGAAAATGACAAGCTTAGCGATTTCTCCCGAGTCCGGGTTTTAGAAGAGTCCAAATTTTATCCCTCGTTTCTTATCCGTGGAATCTAAGGAAAGTCACGTGACATGTTCAGTGACGTTTGTCAGTACGCTGTCTTGCCATGGTTGCAATCCCCTGCGGCTGCTCATCCGTCTGCCGGAGGGCTGCCACCTTTTTGCAAGGTGGCGTCGAGCTCCTCTGTGCTGCATCAACTTGCATTTCAGTTGCTTTTAGTGCACGTCTACGAGCATGCTGAAATATATGCATAACCTTTCAACCACTTTTTATTGCAAAGGGCGTCTTTGTAAGGGGTGTCCTAGCCGTGATGCGGAACACATGTTGGTGCCGGTGGAATGACATGCCGCAGCCACTCTTTGAATGGCAAATACATACGACTCCATGTTCGGCAGCATCGATAGACGAACGACGTGCCCTTCAACGCCACTACGCTGCCGTGTTTCCAATCAAACGTACGAAATTGGGCCCGACCAACACCCCGCCTGTTTCCATTCGGAGGCAGTCGTGCCGCGGCGGGACGCTGGGCTGACCGCGATGGCCGTGAAACACTCGCTGAGGACTAGATCCCGTCATTTGAGCGCTGAAATGGGACGCCTGGGCGGCGAGCTTGACCGTGAAACACTCGCTGAGGACTAGGTCCCGTCATTTGAGCGCTGAAATGGGACGCCTGGGCGGCGGGCTTGGGTTCACTATTCGCTCGCTCGCTGAGCACTGAGGTCCGGTCGTTTGAGCGCTGAGATAGGACGCTTGGGCGGCGAACTTGGGTTCACTATTCGCTCGAAGCCATCCTCGGGCGGTAGCGGATCGCAGACGGCCCCACTCGCAGATGCACACACCGCCGAACTGTTGTTCGAGACGACGTCGATGTGAACAACCCCGACGCCAGTTGACCGAAAATGAATAACGATTGAAAAAAGCCGCCGAAGGCCGAAACGCACGCGGTAACTGATGGCACTGCAGCAGACACTCCGCAGCTCTCCTAGCTCAGCGAGACACAGCTGGGGTCCCAGAAGAGAGCGACTTGAAAAGGACGGACCACCGGCGGATCATCGGGATCACCTGATTCAGGAATTGACTCACTCTGCGCTTCACCCCAAAAGAGCGCCAGGCGGAGTGACTGCGTCGCCCGGTGACGCGCGACACAACACGAGCTATCGCGGCGGCGGCGTCACGTCCTTCCAGACAGCGGCACGTGCTCCGTGCAGCCCTAAAAAAGCCGCTCGGGGCCGACTGGCGGGCGACGCCGCAGTGCCACAGCTCGGCCGGCAACTCGGCGGGCCGGCCGTTGGCCACCAGCGGTGGCATCGCTGCCGCCGACGGCCGGCCGACGAAGCGCGCCGCCGCGTTTCCTGGCCGTCCCCGCCGGCCAGACGGCCGCCGCTGGCCAAACGAAGCGACGCCAGGGAGCCGCCGCCCGGGAGAGGCCCGCTGTCGCTGTCGCGCACGCCGAGGCCGACCGCAGCAGGCGCGCGCTCGAGTCGGCACCCAGCCGCCGCGGTCGCCGGCTGTGTGAACGCCAGCTCAGTGACGCGGCGTGGGACGGCGGCGCCGCCGCCACGCTGCATCGTCGCCGTCAACGCGTCGGCCCGAGCCGCCTCGTTCCAGCAGTGACGCGCCGCCGGGGCGCGCGCGCCGGCCGCTCCGCCATTGCCGACCGCTCGGGCGTCGGTGCCGCGCTCGCCACAAAGACCGCCGGCGGCGCGGCTCGCGAGGCGCTGGCAGCGCGCGTCGTTTTCGCCGCAGGCACGTCACAGCTGCCGTGTCAGCCTCGTCGGACGGCCGGGGCCGCGCTGCCGCCGCCGTCGACGCCGCGCGACGGGCGTGGCCACACAGCGGCGCGGCCGTTACGCGGTCGGCACGCGTCACAAGCGTCGCCAACGAGGCGCGCCGGCGGGCGCCGCGCGGCCGCTTGGCACGCGGCATGAGCAGCTCCTGACGAACGACGACAGGTGCCGCGTCCGATGCGGGTAAATCAGCGGCCGTGTATGGCTGCCAGCCGGCCGCGGGCGCTAATTGCCTGCCGAGGCTTCGACGTGCGGCCGCGAGCAGCCCACCGCGGTCCGCGCGGAACTCACTGAGCGAGCGGCGGCGGGGGGGGGGGGGGGGGGGGGCGCTATCTGTGAGACTTGAGACGGCCGCAGGGAGGTCGCCAGCAGTCAGGCACGTGTTGCTCACGCGAATGGCCGCCAGCATGGACGTGCGGCGCTCACGACAGACCAGTCAATTCCCGCCCGCCGGGTGCATGTCCTGCTCACGTCACTATACTGCTCTCGCAGCTGATGGGTACATGCACAGGCTGAGAATGGGCAGCGCGGCCAACTGTTGCGTGCCGAGCAGCAGACAAACGCGAACTGGGCCAGGCCCGTCCATGCCGTCCTGAGTACGACACATCTCACCACCCGGCATGC